TAAACCTTATTGAAAATCTCTGGAAAATCCTTGGTGACAAAGTTGCTGGTAAAAAAAACCCTCCACTACATTCCATCAACTGTGTAAGATACTAAATAACAGCTAATCTAGATGCACAACAGTGCATAGACTAGCAATGTTCGGAAAGAAACTAGTTAGTAATGTCTTTTGAGAGACCAGTGACCTCTTATAAACAACAAAAACAACAACAACAGCAACAACAACAAAAACAGTGACCACAGAACCATTATACAAACTAAAACTTCAATTTTGTGAACTGTCCCAACCCCTAGCGAGACAAGTGATCTGTTCAGAAGTCACACAAATGTAAGAACTTCTAGACTTCCTACTTATTTTTGACTGCTGGGAACTTGAGGAAATTTTGTTGTAATCTATATTTGTGATACTAAAATTACACCTGTTCTCTAATTTTGATAACCATTTTCCAAAAAATCCATATATTTTTGGTCATAGTGACTTGATTATTCTGTAAAACACTGTTTTACAGAGGGATCTTTAACTCCCCACATTTCCATGAAACACCACAAATGACATAGAGTTAGTCTCCCTACACTCCCATAACTGAGCAAGTTTTAATTTGCCTTTGGGAATATGTTTCCAAATACTTCTGTTATTCAAACATGCTTACAAAAATTGAGCCAAAAAAAAGGACACTTTGCTAATACAACACTCTTTATAAACAGCAGCAACAGTAAAGGAGGGAGTGTTTCAGCTGTCTTCTGCTTGGCTTTAGTTGGCAGCGTCTCTGATATGTGTGTTTTAGGAGCGTGAGCAGATGTCTGTTCTCCACTGAGGGGTGAAGGTGCACAGACATCCAATGCCACACCACACTCCTTCCCTCCCTGGATCTGCTTTCAGCCTCAGCCAGCTGTCTTTATGACATGCGTCTGTGTTAAATCATGAGCTGATTCGATGAGCAAACTGTCTATAAGAGGCATCATATTTGGATTAGGCATCCAATATCAGCTGCTCTATTAATAATCAGGCCCAATGAAAAATCAGCATGAGCTGAAGACCTTTTAAAGGAAGGTTCAAAACAGGGGAAACTTGAGCTTGATCTGGATTTCTCTTGTTTGTTTTATTTTTGCTTGTTGAATAAATGTTATGTTAACCTATAATAAAATTAATGTTGCTTCATTCAATTTCTAAATGATTTTAGAGATTTCTTGTATAGGTCAGCAACATAACGCACTATTGTCAGGGTCTATTTAAAGTTTTGCAAAATAAGTAAGTAAAGCAAAGAAAATGAGCATCTAAATGTACTTAAGATTTCTAGATTAAAATGTATAACTCAAAGAATAATGAATAGGAACTGTGGAACTAGGATCATTTGATAAATGTTAGAGTTAAGAAGATTTGACAATAAAAAATTCAGCTTTGCCAACCCAGGAATAAAACAACAACAACAATATATATATATATATATATATATGGGTGAAGAAGTTTAAATAAATAAATACATTAAAGTAAATTAATTAATTGAGAGCATTTTGTATTCGTATTTTTATGGCATGGCAAAAAATAAATAAATCAATTTTTCCACATTTTATAAATATAACTTTTCTATAAATATTCTAACAAATAAAAGTAATCAACAGTAATAAATAATACACAAGATAAAATACATAAATGATAATAATATATAAGTTAAAATCTAAAACAGGTTTTTAAGGTTTACTTTTGGTAAACTTTTTACAATTTAAAAAGGATTCACATTTAAAAATATTTCATTAAAAGTTTCATTTAAAAAAAAAAAAAAAAAAAAACGCTGCCTGATAACATAAAAAATAGGGCTTTCCACAAGAATATGTTTAACAGATTGTTTTTGTTGCAGTATTGACATTTTGGGGGTTCTTCTCCTTTGAGTAAATGTTCATGTGTCTGGTCTGTCCAATACGCCATCTTCTATAATCAATCTCATCATGTCCTGGGTTAAAAAGTATATTGGATTTTCTTCCTATTTCTGACTGAATTTCAAAAAGTTTATTTTCTGAGCACTGAGAATAAAGCATAAAGCACTTTATTAGTGGCTTTAAACTTGAAGGTGGGATTTTGCACTCCGTTATCTTTCGTCAGGGCTGTTTTGGGGACTTTGTCAGCTTGTTCATTTTCAAATAGTCCAACATGTCCTGGGATCCAGCAGAAGACTTTATTATAACATTTTCTCTGTTGTTCATTCGCTTTGATAAAAATGTCAAAAATAATGGGAAGCTCCAGCTTAAAAGAATTCAATGTTTGTAGACATGATTTGGAGTCAGAAAAAATAATACAACAGTGTTTTTTAGTATTTTCAATACATTCTAGAACCAAAAATAGAGCCTTTGCTTCAGTTGTAAAAACTGAACTTTGATCTGGAAAACGAATACCAAATTAATTATTTAAAATTGCACACACACACACACAAAAAAATAAAATAAAAAATAAAAATTTTGCCCCAAACATTCTGAACAGATGTTTAAACACATCATAATAGTAATAACAATAATAATAATATTTTTATTAATAATTATTTAATTAATATATATATAAATAATTTTTTTTTGTAATAAATTGTCCCTCAAAAAAATCCAACAATTGCATTGTCATTGTGTGTGTGTGTGTGTTTATGTAAGTAAACACACGCACACATAAAAAAATATATATATTGCAATGAGCTGAAATAAAAACACAATTCTTGGATTTTTTTTTTGAGGGACAACCTAATATTTTTTATACTTAATATATAATGTACTTACATTTGTAAAAACTAAATAGCTTACAAATACTAAGTTAACTTAATTCGTTTATGTTTTCCCAACACAAATCAAATTTTTTTTTTTTTTACAATTTATATAAAGAGGACCAAGGAATGGGAATCTATTCAACTCAAAAAATATGTTTCTAGGAAAGACAACAATACCACACCCCCTAGAATATTCCTCAGAAAGATGTTACTTGCAAGTAGCAAAACCATTTTTCATTTGTATTTTGCACAAAGTAGCCTGTCTTCATGACTAAACTCAGCTACCAAAACATTTGTCAGTGAGTTCCCAGTGCAGCTGCAGTAACAGGGAGAGCCTTATCAATATTTTCAGAAGACCAGAGACAAACATTTAGAGGGTGTGGAGCAGAGAACAGTCCAAAGAAGGACGTCAACAGATAAAACCGGAGAGCTATAAAACCAGACACAAAAAGGCGCAATTATGCATGAAAAACAGATGTGAAGTGATGTTTCTCTGGTGTGTTGTAGAAACAAAATATGATCATTTCAGCTGTAAACGTATTTTTGAGCTCACTTTAGTCCTGCTTTACTGTGCTGGACAACATGCTCTACAACTGAGAGCGTATAGCACAACACAGTTTTCTACAGGCTGTAGACAATACAGAATCACTTTTGTGTTAAAGGAATAAGCGGAGGTCAAGCTGAGGTTGCAATGTGACACTAATGCTCCTATTGCATATCACACAAAAGCAGCAGAAGAAATAATGAGGCAGATTAACTAGAGCTCATGCGGACCAACAGAGTAACACAAATCAACATACAGACCAAGGACTGCGCTCTTTTACACTGGCCTAAAATGAGAAATAAGAGCATACAGAACATGTTCAATTGCATTTTTTTAAAACTCCGGAGCTATTTTGATTGGCTTTGTTTTTTTTAAGGAAAGCTAATACTGGTTAACTACCTCCTGCTTAAATGAAACTTTTTAAAATAATAATAATAATAATAAAAAACACTTAAAAATTAAGTATTATTGTTATTGCACAAAAAATGCCTTTAAAATTCCATCTTTTATTGCATGACTATAAACAATACACTTTTCTAGTATATTTTGGCATACCATTTCTTATACAGTATCTAACAATTTTATACAATATAGCATTTTTAAAAGGAATAATAATAAAAAATATGAAAAAAATACAAAACAAAAACAGGCATGCATGTAAATGCATTTAACATTTTTATAAAAAGACAACAAAAATATTTTAATGAAAAAATTATTAAATCCAAAAAATAATAGGTTAAGTTCATATCTTTAAAGTAACGGGGATAAATTAATTATTTGCTAATGCTAAATAATTAAACAATATAGACAATGAATAATAATTATATATTAATGGCTGAGCCAAAAAGAAAATGAATGAATGAATATACAGTTTTATATACAGTCGGCATCAGAACTATTAGCCCCTTTTTGATTATTTTCTTTTTTAAATATTTCCCAAATGATGTTTAACAGAGCAAGAACATTTTTCACAGTATGTCTGATAATATTTTTTCTTCTGAAAAAAGTTTTATTTTTTTATTTACTGTAGGCTAGAATAAAAGCAGTTTTTTAATTTATTAAACACCATTTTAAGGTCAAAATTATTAGCCTCTTTAAGCTATATTTTTTGATAGTTAACAGAACCAACCATCATTATACAATAACTTGCCTAATTACCCTAACCTGCCTAGTTAACCTAATTAACCTAGTTAAGCCTTTAAATGTCACTTTAAGCTGTATAGAAGTGTCTTGAAAAACATCTAGTAAAATATTATTAACTGTCATCATGGCAAAGATGAAATAAATCAGTGATTAGAAATGAGTTATTAAAATTATTATGTCTAGAAATGTGTTGAAAAAAATATTCACTCCGTTAAACAGAAAAAAAAAACAAAAAAAAAACAAGGGTGCTAATAATTCAGGGGGGCTAATAATTCTGACTTCAGCTGTGTATATTATATATAATTAAAAGAGCATATGTTGAATGACTAGAGAAAAAAATCACAATATAGAAAAATATAAATCATTCAATAGCACAGCATAAAAAAACAAACATTCAGTTTAAAACACACACAAAAACACAGGCAGCGAGAAAAAGTATGTGAAGTGACTCACCAGCAGTGCTGTTCCTTCAACAGCCTGTGCAGAACTGAAGGACTGAGCTGAAGCTGATCTGAGAGCAGAGGGAGTTGTGCAGTTTCCTAGAGCTGCCTGAAAGTGAGAGTGTTCAGCAGACTCACTGCAGTTTAATGGACTGAAGTGAGACTCGCTCAGACCACGCTGGATTTCACATACAATACTGTGGCTCTTTTTGTGTCGCCAACAAATTTGATCACAACACGGCGGTTTGCGATGGGAAGGCTCTAATGTGACCCTTGACCTCTATCTTTCTCTGCATTGCTATTTTCTTCAGAGGGCCACTTGTGCGCTCCACAATAACCCGAGTCAGAAGAAGAAGCACATTTCGACAGGGGGAGAATAATGGCATGCCAGGGTCGCAATGTGGAGCCGCTGGGGAACCATGGGAACGAGGGCCAGCACGCCTTTAGGTTAGAAGCCCCCCCGAAAACCCCCCTCTGAAACCATATCAATACACAGAAGATGAACAGAGCGCTTAACAGGGCTGCTTATGAATAAATGCCACAGATTACCCAATATCTGTGTTTACATTCATCTACTTTTATGCACATTTTAGGATATTGTATGAAAAAATTCTGAACGGAAACAATAGGATGTGCAAAAATTATAGAATTGTCAAATAAAAAAAACGTAATTGTACACATTTTTAATCCAGTAAAAATATATGCGCATAAATTAGAATGAAAGCACAAATCCTCTCATGCACTTCAATTTTTTTTTAATTCAGATTTTGCCTCAACATACAGAATAACCGGTGAATTGATCTCATCTCACATTATCTCAATTTATGTATCATTGAATCATTTTTCTGAAGTTAAAGAACCACAATACACTTTATTAAAAGCATTAGCATCTGTTTTTGCAGAGGTTGATATTAATGCATGCCTGCGTTTTCTTTGAAATTATAGCCTCAAAATACAACCCAATACATCTCTGTAAGTCTTTGTCGAGTTCAATTATTTAGCATAAAATTTATCTACAACAGAGAGAATAATATACTAAATAATAATATGATGTATTGAATAATATGATATATTATTTATATATTTTTCAACTATTATATATAAATCACCTTTTTCTTATTACTACTTCTATTTACTGTGTTTTATTATAAGTTGGTTTTCATGTGTAAATTTTATAAATGCTTTGGCAACACGTTTGTAACATTTGGCATGCCAATAAAACAATTATTGAATTGAATTTAAAAGAGAGAGGCGACGTGGTGGCGCAGTAGGTAGTGGGTGCTCCGGTTTCTCCCACAGTCCAAAGACATGCGCTACAGGTGAAATGGGTAAGATAAATTGTCCGTAGTGTATGTGTGTGAATGAGTGTGTATGGATGTTTCCCAGAGATGGGTTGCAGCTGGAAGGGCATCTGCTGCATAAAACATGTGCTGGATAAGTTGGCAGTTCATTCTGCTGTGGTGACCCCAGATTAATGAAGGGACTAAGCCGAAAAGAAATGAATGAATGAATGAAATGAAATGAAAGAAAGAGAGAGAGAGAGAGAGAGAGAGAGAGAGAGAGAGAGAGAGAGAGAAAGAGATAAAGAGAGAGAGAGGATGCTGCACGAGCAGAGCCCATTATTATTCACAACCCTTCCAATTATGGTCAAAATGGAACTTTTGATTCTAGGGATATTTTATGTGAAATAAATGAGCACACAACAGTTTATAAAAAACCCACATACCTACTATTGTATGAAGGCATCAGAGAATGATTTAACTTAAATTTAAACACTATTTAAGATATCAAAACAGGGCTTCTAGTAGTACCCAGAATAGCAAAGTCTACTAAAGGAGGTCGAGCCTTCTCATTTATGGGTCCTAAACTCTAGAATAGCCTTCCTGATAATGTCTGAGGCTCAAAAAACTCTCTGTTTAAGACCTATCTTAACAGTATGATGCATGAGAGTGCTCTACGCAGGTGAGTGGGCTTGACAAACCACCCCTTAGAACACACTCCTCCTGTCTTAATGCACTCGACATTTTGTTAGAAATACTCATATCCTTTGCGTGTTTGTTTATATAACTACTATTTTTATTTATAGCACTTCATTTTTGCATTTCGTATTTAAATACACTATGAACAGCAGCTACGCTGTGTTTTTTTTATTTCTACCAGTAAAAACTCATCCCGAGGCCTCTAGAGATCATGCAGCCCCATTGATGCGATCCAAGACCTGTGCAAAATTGATGCCAAAATATCCAAAGACCTGGAGCGTGCAGTTTCCTGCGCAGAAGCTGTGGTGGTCATGGAGGAGCAAAGAGCATGAGACACCCACAGGTGACCTACTCACACCTGCAGTTTCTCCAAGATGGATTTCCAGCGTTCTCCAGCCTCCAATGCCAAGACTGCAGGTCTGCACAGGAACTTTTGTCCAGAGGAAAAATGGTGGTGTCCAACTGAGCCTGGTCTCTTCCTTTACTTTCGTCACTTTGTGAAGTTTTGTTCCTCACTTGGTTTGGGACTTGTGGAGCTGTACATCGATGGATTTGCTCTTCAGTGTTTGGACTTTCAGCAGTGACAAATAAACTACAGTGAAGTGAACTAAACTGAACTTCAACTTTGAAATCTGGACTGACACAGTTTAAATTTACTAGAGCTTCTATGTTAAGCTGCTTTGACATTGTCTATATTGTAAAAGCGCTATAGAAATAAACATGAATTTAATTGAATTACTGAATAAAGCAGCACCTTTAAAGCCTCCTGTTTCAGTTTGATATTTCAGTTTAGTAAATTGGCAATTTGGAATAAAAATGCTGTAAACATGAACTGTGGAAAGGCCAGACAGAAGAGGCCCCTTGGAACTCAGAGCCAAAATGGAGGCCCTTGTTTGTCGGATCCCCGCTGTGGACCATCATAACTGAAGTAAAAATAAGGGCATGTGATGTTCAGACAGATGTGGAGCCGCGAGCGAACAGCAAGAGCAATAATCTGTCTTTCATTCTGCGACTTCACAGCTGTGCGGGACACACATCATCTCTTTTTCTTCTGTTTGGGCCCTGTCTTCAACGATATGCTAATATAGTTCACTGCACTGAATGAGCCCACTATCTAGTCGGCTCTATTCTACAAGAATGGAGCCAAATAATACAGTGCCAAGACTTAATTGGGACGTCTCCAAGCCACATTATATGCCGTCCCTCGAGACGTTGTTGCCCCAGGGCGAAACACGAGAAGAACTAGTCTTGTGTCACATTTAAGAGCTCAAACAGTCTGCCTTTAAAACATGATAAAGTGACGCAAGTAGAAGGTTTATCACTAACACCCAACAGACAGTGATGTACAATGATGTCTTATACAGGCTTGATGCTGATCATTTGGTTTGTTAAATATATATATTTTAATATATATATATATATATATATATATATATATATATATATATATATATATATATATATATATATATATATTTAATATATGTATATGTTTTCTTTTCTTTTAGTTTTATTTTTTTTCTTTTTTAGTTACTGAATGCCCACGTTCCAAATTAAATAAAATGATCTCAAGTGAAAATTTGATTTTGGTATAAATTCCACAAATTATGTGATAGATTAATCAATATAAGTATAGTCAATAGTGTCAGCCCTATAGTTCATTTTTAACTTCTATTAACTTCAAAAATACTGTTACTTTTCCATGATTGTTAGATAAATATAAAGTATTTTTGATGTGATGACTGCGTGTTAACTTGTTAAAGAAAAACAAAAACTAAATGTCAATTTAATTTAATAATACAAAATAAATATTTACAGTTAACACTTGCACAACATACAGTAGTTACATAAAAATGTGAACGGCCAAGGACAGAAAAGAAGCAAAGTGGTAGTAACATTTATCATTATCATTATTATTTTAAGTCAAAATATTCAAATATTAAACAATAAATGCCTGAAAACAAACTAAATGGCATATAAAGTTACAAATCTTTCATTTGACCAAATGAAAAATAAAACATGACAGATTAAAATTTTTAAAAATCTATTTGAATAAAGTAAACTTTGGAAGCGGGTTAAGTAATTTTACAGTTCGCAATTTTTTAATTCAGTAGGTAAACTGCATTATGCAGATGTTAGTATGATTTACAACTAACTTTACATCAACAATATTCACTTATTCTCTGCATATGAGCGGGCGCAGCCCGACTTCCGGTCTCATTCTTTTCCATTCGTTTTTAGACGCTAAAAACAACTCATTATGCAGCTTGATGTTGCAAACTGATATTTTCTTATTATATGATTCTATTTTGACTGTATAGTAATGGACATGCTTGTTTGTAGAGTGAGTGGTTTGACTGTTTTCTGCAGTTTATTATTCCTTGTCATTTCTCCCATAGGGAGCTGAATCGGAAATTCTAAAACAATCGCAAAAACGAGCGCACTTCTGCATTGAAGAATAAGATCAATAAACAAATACTGAAAAATACTGTGAGCTCAGGAGCTCCGTGGAGCCACAAACTGTATTGTTGTCAGCATTAACCTACTGTCAAAAATCACATTTGAAAATGCAAGATTTGGCATAATTTATTAAGTAAACCTTTGATTTCAGCTTGAATAACAAATAACAAGTAACTCTACATAACAAACAACAAAACTGTGATTTCTGTCAAGGGAGAAAATTAGCAAAATGGCTATCTTTTAGTCCAGATGTTAAAATAGGATTCAAATCCCTCCCATTTTGAGGCCCACTGCAAAGTGACATAAGAGTGCAATTTCCCCACTCACCAAATTGATTGACAGTCATGTATTTACATGTCTCTGTAGTAACGCGTATAATCATATCAACAAGACAGAATGTGCCCAAAGCAACTGGGATTAAAAGATCTGTTCAGCTCTCTGTGATCATCAGTCATCATCAAATGAGATCAATAAAAAGTTTTACAAGTTTAAAATGGTTTAAAAACATGCATGTTTGTAATCAATTACAGTGATTTTACCACCTTTACTTTATCACCACAGCTGCGTGTCAGTATAATTATAAAAGACGATGCTTTGTGGACGTTAAATCAGGTTTATTTTGTACATTAACATAATGGATATCCATACAGCAGTGGATATTAACATGTAGCCTGTCACATTTGCATGCAAAAACAGTGCAAAGTTAAATGCATACTGTGTGTGTATGTGTCTGTGTGTGCGTGCGTAAACTTTGTAAAGACCTTGTGTGTGACTTATCGTTCTTAGACTTTACAACAAATACATCAGATTATCATTGGTAAAGGTCTTACTGTAGCATTTTTTACAAATGTTACATGAGATTTGCTTTCTTCATGTCTGTCACTGTGCTGTTTATCTGATGCAGCCAAGGTGGAGATTGAGGCACACTCTGACAGGCATGTGGGAACGGTGGGCGGAGAGAAACAGCATTAAAGGCACAGGCCACAAAAACAGCTACAATGTGTTTAGAGCAAAAAATTCCAATATTCTTAAAGGTATAATAAATAATCTGATGGGTGTTTTGAGCTGAAACTTTACAGACACATTCCGGAGACACAAAATATAATGTATTTGCCAAAATCAGTTTAAAAAGAATTAGTCAGTCCTAAAGTAGAACATGAATATATGAGGGCTAACGTTTTGTTGACCAGATACAAAGTTGGTTGCTTAACTGTCTGGAAACTTACAACAAGTTTCTACAGAATACCTACAAATTAGACAAATTTAGCATCCACAGTATCTTACCTCAGTAGTTGCAGACTTGTTTCTGGACACGGCACTTAAAATGTCCCCCACTTTATAAGGTGAATGAAAATGAACCAAAGGTTCCAATTCAGCATGCATGCACAAAATGTCACAAGCAAAGACAGCACAAAATATGCATAATGTATTTGTAATTTAACCAAAATTATCATTAATTAATTAATTAATTAATTAATTCATTTTCTTTTCGGCTTATTCCCTGTATTATTCTGAGGTCACCACAGTGGAATGAACCGACAAACTTATCCAGCATATGTTTTACGCAGCGGATGCCTTCCAGCTGCAACCCATCTCTGGGAAACACCTATACACTCTCATTCACACAAATACACTACGGCCAATTTTAACTTACCCAATTTACCTGTACCGCATGTCTTTGGACTTGTGGGAGAAACTGGGGCACTTGGAGGAAACCCACGCTAACACTGGGAGAACATGCAAACTCCACACAGAAATGCGAACTGACAGAGCCGAGGCTCAAACCAGCCACCTTCTTGCTGTGAGGCGACAGTGCTACCTACTGCGCCACTGTGGTGCCCCAAAATGGTCAACAAAGACAAATTTAAAAAAATGCTATGCACATTTCCACGACTTTTCCAAAACGTTGTAGATTCATTTGTTTTTACAAAACATGCCAGCCCTTGAAATTTGCATTTCAAAAGTACTTTTTCATGACTGTATACAAATGGTTATAGTCATTTATTTAACAGTGTTACTTAGAATTCATCACAAATGGGATTTGATGACTATAATACTTTATTAGTTTTGAAAACATGGTTTTAAGATTGTCTTAAGAAGAAAAATAAAAAGATTGGCATTACACATTTTTGCAAGATGCAAAAAAAAAATTTAACAATGCATGTCTAACAAACATTTTTTGCAGTCTGGCAAACAACTATGCAGTCTGTTTTATCTCATATATATAAACCTATATATGTGTGTGTGTGTGTGTGTGTGTGTGTGTGTGTGTGTGTGTGTGTGTGTGTGTGTGTGTGTGTGTGTGTGTGTGTGCGTGTGTTTGTGTGTGTGTGTGTGTGTTTGTGTGTTGAAATAACAGCACTATACATTCTTTTTTTCTTTAGTCAAAGGTTTGATTTCGTCTTTGTCCTCTCCTCTCATTAAGGTACATGTTGACGTAGGAAGTCAGCAAGTCATCCATTTTATAGCCCTTGTGAAAACAGGATAAAACCGTTATTTTAAAACTAGAAAAAAAAAGTTTTATTAAAATTCTTTAATTGCTGTAATCTTGTTTTTTCATTCAAATAAAATTAATTTTGTTTCAACATAATAATTTTAGTTAATTTCTTTTTTTGTTAATTTTAATAATTCATTTGTATATACAGTTGAAGTCAGAATTATTAGCCCTCCTGAATTATTAGCCACCTGTTATTTCCTTGCTCTGTTAAACATCATTTGGAAAATATTTAAAAAAGAAAAAAAAATTCAAAGGGGGACTGATAATTCTGACTTGAACTCTGTGTATATATATATATATATATATATATATATATATATATATATATATATATATATATATATATAAATATATATATATTATACAGTACAGTTAAAGTCAGAATTATTATCCCGCCTGAATTCTTAGCTTTTATTATTTCTAAACATAATTTTAATAACTCATTTCTAATAACTGTTTTATTTTATCTTTGCCATGAAGACAGTACATAATATTCGACTAGATATTTTTCAAGACACTTCTATACAGCTTAAAGTGACATTTAAAGGCTTAACTAGTTTAATTAGGTTACCTAGGCAGGTTAGGATAATTAGGCAAGTTATTGTATAATGATGGCTTGTTCTGTAGACTATCGAAAAAAATATAGCTTAAAGGGGCTAATAATTTTGACCTTAAAATTATATTAAAAAAAAACTGCTTTAATTCTATAGCCACAATGAAACAAATAAGACTAAAATTAATAATATTATAAAAAAAATATAAAAATTAATAATATTAAAAATATTGATATACTATGAAAATTTCCTT